ATAATTCCTACAGAAATTCTTATAGATATGCAGAAAAATGCTCCAGCACCTAAAAAGAAAAATGGAAAAGAGAAGGAGCGGTTACAAAGTCTGATGGCTTAATTATGATAAAGGATAAACCAGTTTTACCACAAAGCCTGTTTAAAACAGTAGCGGTGATTAGTCATGGTCAAGGCCATGTCTTAACAGGGGGGATGTTAAGTATAGTACAACAAGTATTTTATCCCACAGGTTTAAATAACTACTTCAAAAATTTTTGTAGAGCATGTCTTACATGTTGTAAATACAATCCACAAGGAAAATAGAGGCCTAAGTGAGGACAGGCACCAAGAGGTACAGCTCTGTTTGAAGTGATTAGCATGGACTATATTGAGCTGACCCCAAGTGGTCAGTACAAGTACTGCCTAGTCTTAGTGGACAACTTTTCTAAATGGGTACAAATTGTCCCTACAAAACATGCAAATGCATTGACAGTGGCAAAAGCGTTGTGTAAACATAGCATGGTATCCCAAAACTCCTACAAAGTGATAATGGAGCACATTATGAAGTGGTATCACTAATGTCTAAACATTTAAACATAACCTTAAAACATCACTGTTCCTACCATCCACAGAGTGCAGGATTGGTGGAATGAGCTAATGGAGCGGTTAAGAACAGATTGAGAAAATTAATGGCAGAAACAGGAAAGCCATGGCCAGAGTGTTCGCACTTAGTAAAACTACTCATGAGGATTACTCCCATATCTGATGGTTTGACTCCTTTTTAAATAGTGAATGGGAGACCTTTTGTTCTACCCTTATGGGAAGGACAACCATGGACAGAAAAAGAAGAGGATGACACTGACCCATTAATTAAGTAGATGCTGAAGCTGTTCAGTGACAAAACTGTTCGGAAAACATGTAATCTGTCCAGTGCTCCTTTTGTTTCCCCACAGGAAGGCCTGAAGCCTGGAGATCGAGTTATGATTAAAATCATCAAAAGGAAAAATTGGGCAGCTCCTAGGTGGGAAGGACCGTACATTGTGGAACTAGCAACTCCAACCGCTGTGAAGATCCAGGAGAGAGACACTTGGATCAACCAGAGTCATTGTAAGCTGATAAAAGACTTTCCCCAACAGGAAGCCCAGTTACCTTCACAGGGACCCCACGACTAAAGTAGGGATCTGCTGTGAAGCCCAGCTACAAAGGGGTTAAGCAATTTAGAGCTTTTCGTCTCAACGCTGGTGAAGAAACCAACCTAACCCAATCCTTTAGAGTCCTGGTTAGTGGGTGCTTCCTTGGAGGGACTGGTGAAGATGGGAAAACTAAAGTGACTCTGCTGCTTGATGGTGACCATTGGACTGGTGCTCCTAGGGACTCAAACTGACCACCTGAAACGAAGGAAAACCAGAATGGTTTTTGATGGATCCCTACGGCGCCAATATGTGGTGGCAGCATGCCAAACATGTTGCTGAAGGTTTGAATAAAACAGACTGTTATGTTTGTACTCATATGCCTACTTCCACAATTCAGACTGTCTATGCATACAATATGTCCGCAGATCAAACTGACTGCCTTGTGGCTCTTTCAACTCATCCAGGAATCAATGTTACACATTCCAAAGCAAATTTCTCAAAGCCATTAAATATCTCAATTAGTCCTTTAATAGACCTACCATGTACTGCAGCTAAGGACACCACAGTGTTACCACAGGTATCAATCCCAATTCCCACATACGTCATGATAGTAGGTGAAAAATTCCCTGTGTGTTTGTAGAAGGTAATGGCAGCGCCTATGTGAGCAAAATTCCAAAGGAAGATGTAATGCTATTTATTCTTTTTGCCCATATATAAATGAAACTGCATGTTCGGCCTGCAGGAAAAATAGAACATGTCGTATCACTCTCTCAGACAGGGCTACTCAATGTGCAAAAAATCATTCCTATGCCATAGCAAACACCAGATGCTCTTCCGTAATGCCTTCATGGCT